CTCTGCCGTCACCCCCCATCACAAGTCCCACCCACACCACAAACCCCCATAGTTCCCCCCAGGGCTCCCGCTCCCCGAACCCCAATATTCCCCCTGGTCCACCATGATATTCAAGAAGCTGAAGGTGTGGTACACAAACACAGATGGAATAGCCAATAAATACGAGGAGTGGCATGAAAGAATCAATGAGAAGTCCCTGGACATTATAGCAGTCACAGAAACGAAACTCACTGAGACAATAACAGACGCAGTCTTCCCGCTGGGATATCAGATCCTGAGGAAAGATACAAGAAGCAGAGGGGGAGGAGGGGTTGCACTGCTCATAAAAAAAGATGGAGTTTCGAGGAAATGGAAGGCATGGACGAGAGTGGAGTAAGGGACTACATAGTAGGAGGCCAAGAGAGGAATACGATGAGAACAACAGAGCGATGGTGAACACACTGGCTGAGGTGGCACGAAGAGCTCAATCGTGCAGAGCAAAGTTAATGGTTATGAGTGATTTCAACAACAGGGAGATCGATTGGGAAAACCTGGAGCCTCATGGGGGCCCCGAAACATGGAGAGCCAAGATGATGGATGTGATACTGGAAAACCTCATGCATCAACACATCAGGGACACTACCAGAGAGAGAGGGGAGGATGAACCAGCAAGACTGGACCTTGTGTTCACCCTGAGTAGCTCAGACATTGATGACATTACATACGAGAGGCCCCTCGGAGCTAGTGACCACGTAGTCCTGAGTTTTGATGACATAGTAGAGTTACAGGTGGAAAGGGTAACAGGAGTCGAATGGGAAAAGCCAAACTATAAAAGGGGGAACTACACAGGTATGAGGAACTTCCTGTGGGAGGTGCAGTGGGACAGAGAAATGGTAGGAAAGTCAGCAAATGAAATGATGGAATATGTAACAACAAAATGCAAGGAGGCAGAGGAAAGGTTTGTTCCCAAGGGCAACAGAAACAATGGGAAGACCAAAGTGAGTCCTTAGGTTACCGGAAGGTGCAGGGAGGCAAAAACTAAGTGCATTAGAGAATGGAAGAGGTATAGAAGGCAAAAGACCCAGGAGAACAAGGAGATCAGTCGAAGAGCCAGAAATGAATATGCACAGATAAGGAGGGAGGCCCAGCAACAGTACAAAAATGACATAGCAGCACAGTTTCATGGAAGGCAAATCCTGTGTCACAAACCTTCTGGAGTTCTATGACAAAGTTACAGAAGTGTGACACGAGAGAGAGAGAGAGAGAGAGAGAGAGAGAGAGAGAGAGAGAGAGAGGTGGGTTGATTGCATTTTCTTGGACTGCAAGAAGGCCTTCGACACAGTTCCTCACAAGCGACTAGTGCAGAAACTAGAGGATCAGGCACGTAAAACGGGAAGGGCACTGCAGTGGATCAGAGAATATCTGACAGGGAGGCAACAACGAGTCATGGTACGAATTTATATGCTTCTCATTACTCCAAGCTGGAATATTGGTGCACACTAACAGCACCTTTCAAGGCAGGCGACATTGCTGACCTAGAAAATGTAGAGAGAGCCTTCACGGCGCGCATAACGGAGATAAAACACCTCAATTACTGGGAGCACATGAAGTTCCTGACCCTGTACTCCCTGGAACGCGGGCGGGAGAGATACATGATTATATACACCTGGAAAATCCCCTAAGGGGGATTACCAATAGACCCCTGGCTGTCTTCAAGCAGGCACTGGACAAGCATCTAAAGTCGGTACCTGACCAGCTGGGCTGTGGCTCGTACGTTGGATTGCATGCAGCCGGCAGTAACAGCCTGGTAGATCAGGCTCTGGTCCACCATGAGGCCTGGTCACAGACCGGGCCATGGGGGCGTTGACCCCCGGAACTCTCTCCAGGTAACCTCCAGGTATGGGTTTATTCTCCCCTGTGAAAATAATAAGAATAATAATCTCATGCTTCATACCCATGACAAGAATTGGTAGTAGGCTTATAAAGTACTCATGAGACTAGATATTATATCAATATAGCACCTGACTTTGACTTGTTATTCCACTATTGCTATTATACAGTACTCAGTACCTTCCCATTTTTGCCTTCATGGATGTCTGCACTGCCCACTTTTTTTCCTCGTCAGTTATATACTGTATACAGATTTCCCTCCAACTACAGTATACCCATTCCCTCCTTCAGAGTGCAGGCATTGCTCTTTCCACCTTCAAAATAAGCCTAGTTAACCAGTTTCCTTGAATCCCTCCAAAAAAGCTAGTCCACGCCTATGCATGGCTTAGTTCTATCTCTGTCTTCTTCAGTTACTTTGCTAAACTCTAATAGCAAGCCCATTGAAAGTTAGCTTAACCCTCCTTCCCTCAAGGAAGGTTTTTTGATGCTGGTGAGGGGCTCTTGTTCTTGGGAATTGGATCCATTCTCCTATTCCCTGAAATAAGCCTGAATACCTTCCACATTCCCCCCCACAGGCGATATATAATCCTACGGGTTTAGCGCTTCCCCCTTGATTATAATAATCCTAACCCTCCTACCAAACTACATGCTCATATAACCTAACAGTCCCTCCTCAACAGAAATGAGTTAATACCCTTGGTCCTGCCGAGATGGGACAGGCACCTAGCAATGTCTGTTGGCAATGGATTAATTCTCCACAATGTTTGTTAACTGATCATTACTCTGAAAATTGTTCATGATTGTAATCATGTGTTCACGATTGTCACCAGCTCTACCTGGAGCTCATTACCTTTGTCAGTTCTCATTATTGTAACCAAATCTAGTTCATTACCTTTGTAATTAATTAGTCATGAGTGTGACCGGCTGTACCTGGAGCTCATTACATTTGTACTTGGTCACGATTGTGACCAGATCTAGTTCATTACATTTGTAACTTGTTCAGCTATCAAAACTTTGGAGTCCAGTCCCTGGACCAATCATGTACCTCTGTAATCTTTTGACTACCGCCCACAGGATGGGTATGGGGTGCATAATAAACATATTAAACTAACTAACTAACTAACCCTTGGTGACACCATATCACTTTAATTTCTGCTCCTAATTCTGCGTAATATTTACACGAGAAATTGCTCTTAAATATGACCTCGCTGCCTCAAGCCTCCTTATTGTGGCATTGAAACCTCATGCCTCACTCCCATTGTGACTTGAGTTGTTAGCACATTCTGCTCACACACTGAGGTCCAGGGATCGATCCCTGGTACGGCTGGAAAACATTAGGATGTTTCCATAAGACATCTGCTGTTCCTGTTCACCCATCAATAAAATGGGTACTTGGGCATTAGTCGACTGGTGTGGGTTCCATCCTGGGACAAAATTGTCCTAATTTGCATGAAATGCTCTTCATAACAAGGAGCATGACTCATGAAATTGTAATGACACGATTGCAAACAAACCATACCCCGGCCAGGATTGAACCCGCGGTCAGAGAGTCTCAAAACTCCAGCCTGTCATGTTAGCCACTAGACCAGCCAGCCACAATAAGATTCGTCCAACTAGGTATATTTCTACACCATAGGAAGGTTAGCACAGGCACTGGTCTAGTGGCTAACTCGATGGGCTGGAGTTTTGAGACTCTCTGACCGCGGGTTCAATCCCGGCCGGGGTATGGTTTAACAAGGAGCATTCTATACAGTAGTATGTCATTGGCGTCAGCTAGGTTTGTATACCTTGTACATGTACTTGTAGAAATAAAGATATTATTATTATTATTAAATTTTGGGTCTTACAGTTCAAGCCTCAGGGCCCCAAAAATGTAGGTCTGCCACTGGGTGTAGGTTACACTATTTGTAAACCAATGAAATGTACATACATGGCCTTTTCCAACAATTACATAACCATTGTATAACTGTGACACACATGAAACATTAAGGAAACTGGGCTTATAATAAAGCCCCTGGTAGGTGAAACACATCCTCATTAAAATTTCATAAACATATCTTACACGCTTGTTGGTACAATAATGTATAGGTTACCTTCTCAAGTATCGATAAATAATATGACCATTTGTAATTGCATGTACATGTTTAAAAAATGTAATGTTGTATTATTTAAATAGATAATTTATTATCTATCATTTACACAATTTGCAGCATCACACATGTTTGGGTTAGGTTAGATAAGATAAGATAAGATAAGATTTCGTTCGGATTTTTAACCCCGGAGGGTTAGCCACCCAGGATAACCCAAGAAAGTCAGTGCGTCATCGAGGACTGTCTAACTTATTTCCATTGGGGCCCTTAATCTTGTCCCCCAGGATGCGACCCACACCAGTCGACTAACACCCAGGTACCTATTTGCTGCTAGGTGAACAGGACAACAGGTGTAAGGAAACGTGTCGAAATGTTTCCACCCGCCGGGAATCGAACCCGGGCCCTCCGTGTGTGAAGCGGGAGTTTTAGCCACCAGGCCACCGGGCCGTCAGGAAACAGGACAAGTGTTTTATGATGACCCGCAGCTGGAGCTTTTGCTCATTATTTGACCGAGGCCTTCCGCTGTATTACCTGTCCATCCCTTTAAAAACTAAAGTTATATTGTACAGGGGAACCTCAAATATAGAACTGCTCCCAACTCAACCAATTATGTAAGTGTAATTGTATTTTTGTAAGTGCTTTTATAAGTGTATTTTTGAGGGTCTGAAATGAACTAATCTAATTAACATTATTCCTGATGGGAATAAATTTGTTCAGTAATGGCACTCGAGCAGCCATCTGAAACGAAGAAAGTTCGATATTTGAGGTTCCACTGTAGTCACGTTTGTTTGTATAGTAATTACATTGTATATACATGTATAATATAATCCAAAAATTATAACAGTACCTTGAATTTATGGAAATCAGATATGTTCAAATTTGATTGTTTAGGTACAGTAATTCTTGTCTTTAGCCATTTCTAAAAAATATGTATGTACAAAAATTTCCTTATATTGATTCATTTACAACTTTTATACTTTATTATGCAATATTAAGTATGTACTACAAAAAATATTTATCTGATGAACTTAAAATTTAACAGATAATGGCTGTCTAAACTGCATGGTGTAATCAAGACCTCAACAAATAATTGCAAAACTGGTAAAAATAAGACATCTAAAGAACACATGCGAGTGTTTAAGCGTGAATTACCAAAGCATCATCCCTCGGTCTACCATGACATCGTGAGTATATTGATTTTCATTCGTTTATATGGTATTATGTAGATGAAAAATACGATAAGTGGTAAGTTTCATAAAATATTGAGGTGACTGACCAGCATTTTGATTTCCTGCTGCTGCAACACTGCCCAGGTGTTACAGTGGCAGGATGAAACATTAAAGAGACAAATTGTGAATAGATTGATATATTTGAGTGGATTTGTGATCCGCGTGATGCATAATTGTTAGCGGTGGAGAATTTGCCTCTGGTGGTGGAACAGTTTTTTAGTGGAGGTAAAGCTATTTTCAGTTGAAGTTTGGTTAATTGTGCTGTGCATGACTTGACCCTTTCTACTGTTGCTACACTCTTATGAGAAGCAACACGCTGCAATATCTGGGAACGAATTCTTCATATCTGCATTCCATATCTGTTGTTTCCTTACGATGAAGAAAACTGACAAGTGGTTGCTTGTGTTGGGGATATAGTTGTGGAGTGGTTGGTGCTGTTATTTAATAAATGTATGGAAGAGGGTAAGGTACCTAGGGATTGGCAGAGAGCATGTATAGCTCCTTTGTATAAAGGCAAAGGGGATAAAAGAGAGTGCAATAATTATAGGGGAATAAGTCTGTTGAGTATACCTGGTATGGTAGAGTTATTATGGAAAGAATTAAGAGTAAGACAGAGAGTAGGATAGCAGATGAACATTGAGGCTTTTGAAAAGGTAGGGGGTGTGTAGACCAAGTGTTTACAGTGAAACATATAGGTGAACAGTATTTAGATAAGGGTAAAGAGGTTTTTGTGGCATTTATGGATTTGGAAAAGCCATATGATAAGGTGAATAGGGGGGCAATGTGGCAGATAGTATTTAGATAAGGGTAAAGAGGTTTTTGTGGCATTTATGGATTTGGAAAAGCCATATGATAAGGTGAATAGGGGGGGCAATGTAGCAGATGTTGCAGGTGTATGGTATAGGAGGTAGGTTACTGAAAGCAGTGAAGAGTTTTTATGAGGATAGTGAGGCTCAAGTTAGTGTATGTAGGAGAGAGCGAGATTATTTCCCAGTAAAAGTAGGCCTTAGACAGGGATGTGTGGTGTCACAGTGGTTATTCAATATATTTATAGATGGGGTTTTAAGAGAAGTGAATGTGAGGGTCTTGGCAAAAGGTGTGGAGTTAAAAGATAAAGAATCAAACACAAAGTGGGAGTTGTCGCAGTTGCTCTTTGCTGATGACACTGTGCTTTTGGGAGATTCTGAAGAGAAGTTGCAGAGGTTGGTGGATGAATTTGGTAGGGTATATAAAAGAAGAAAGTTAAAAGTGAATACAGGAAAGAGTAAGGTTATGAGGATAACAAAAAGATTAGGTGATGAAAGATTGGATATCAGATTGGAGGGAGAGAGTATGGAGGAGGTGAATGTATTCAGATATTTAGGAGTGAACGTGTCAGTAGATGGGTCTATGAAAGATGAGGTGAATCATTGAATTGATGAGAGGAAAAGGGTGAGTGGTGCACTTAGGAGTCTGTGGAGACAAAGAACTTTGTTTGTGGAAGCAAAGAGGGGAATGTATGAGAGTATAGTTGTGCCAACACTCTTATATGGGTGTGAAATATGGGTGATGAATGTTGCAACGAGGAGTTGGCTGAAGGCAGTGGAGATGTCATGTCTAAGGGCAATGTGTGGCATGAATATAATGCAGAGAATTCGTAGTTTGGAAATTAGGAGAAGGTGTGGAATTACCAAAACTATTATCCAGAGGGCTGAGGAGGTGTTGTTGAGGTGGTTTGGACGTGTAGAGAGAATGGAACAAACAGAATGACTTCGAGAGTATAAATCTGTAGTGGAAGGAAGGCGGGGTAGGGGTCAGCCTAGGATGGATTTGGAGGGAGGGGTAAAGGAGTTTTTGTGTGCGAGGGGCTTGGACTTCCAGCAAGCGTGCGTGAGCGTATTTTATAGGAGTGAATGGAGACAAATAATTTTTAATACTTGACATGCTGTTGGAGTGAGAGTAGAGTAACATTTATGAAGGGATTCAGGCAAGTTACAAAGATAATGAATCAGCCAGGGCAATCAGTACAACTATAAACCCAACTGAAACTTTCTGGAGAGCTGCAACAGAACTCATAGAATAATGCAAGAATAATACAAGAAATAACTATTGTTTAATGTCCCATGTGTTCAACTCAGTGTAAGTAAAATCTCAGTGACTATGACAGGCCCAAAATCTGAAAATCTACAGATTCCAAAGGTTCCCTATTTGCCAACCACTTCAAAACTTTTTAAAAAATCACCTCAGCTTATACACTGGCAGTCACCTACCAAGATAGGGTGGCCCAAAGGCTATATACTGATCCCAGTGTGTCTGCCATTTCACGAAACATTTTTAGAACTCTTCCTTCCTAACGGCATCTAGCACAGCCTGTGATTCTGCTTGAATCTCCTCCACATCATTAAAACATCGCCCCTTGAGTGCCAGTTTTATTTTTTGGGAAGAGAAAAAGGTTGTCAAAAACAACCACCATGTTTTTGGCACCTGAAAACAATGGTCCTTCTGGTCTTAAGTCAGCCTCTTGCCTCAGGTTTAAATTTTCAGTCAAAATGCTTCAACAAGATGTATAAGAAATTCCTACATGTTTGTCATGCTTTAAATCGAGAAAACCATTAAAAACGGTGTGTGACCCACTGATTCGTCATCAAATGTTTGCTGAAGTTTTTTAGGAGTCTAGCCATTTCATACATGCATTGTCCTTTCTTTGAAGATTCCATTCTGTTACAAATACAATTGCAACATCACAGTGACTACCCAACAAAAAAAATCCTGTTTAACCTTAATGGAATGACCAGCCTAACACTGCATGAAAGTTGCCACTTCACAAAGGAGTGTACTGTGCAATGTGATCTACGCTGCTGCCATATTCACCCAGGAAGCCCATAAATCTGTCACAAACTGTTTTAAAAAGCAATCCTGAATCGCATCAAGAAAGTCACTACACTCAAGATTTCCTGTCACATTGTTCCAATCAATTTGTCTGAAGTTAAATTCTATTAACACAACATTTTCATATCTAAATGCCTTTTGAATTTCATCTCATAGCAGCTTACTGCACTCCCTGTCAAGGTTAGGGGAGCTATAAATCACACCCAAAATTAATTTTCCATGACCCTCGAGATGTTTGGGAACAGAGCTACGAATGTCTGACTAAATATAATGATTAATAGTTCTCCCATTGTAAGACAAACCTAGGGAAAATTCGAAGACTGTGCCTTGAAAGCAACTTTAAATTCAACACCCACATCCAGCACAAAGCAAAGGTCTCTGAATCAGTAGGTATCCTTTGTTAATATGTACCTCAAACAGCACTACTTACTTTGTGCTACTGTCATTACCTCACCCATATTATTTATGCCTGACTATCTACTACAGCTAGCAACGAGGGTCTGGGTTCAATTCCCAGCGAGGGTAGCAACATTGGGCGTGTTTCTTTACACTGGTTGTGTATGTTCACCCATCAGTAAAATGGGCACCTGGGAGTTAGTCGACTGGTGTGGGTCACATCCTGGGACAAAACTGACCTAATTTGCCTGAAATGCTCTGTATAACAAGCACCTTTCTATACACAGTAAACTGTCATTTAGCATGGTAGATACGTTCCTGAAAATGCTGTGTTAGGTAAAATCGGGTTAGATGAACTGAAGAACTTATGGAAAAAATAGGGTTACAATCCTAGGAGCCCCCAAAAAGCCAAACAACTTTTTTTAGACCAAACAGATCTTACAAAAATAAAAGTGAATATGTAATTGTAGTTCATTGTCATGATATATTACTGCTTAAGACTACAAATGCAATAGAAATACTAGTATTTCTTACCTTAAATTGTGGGTGGATGATTGTGGAGAGAGTGGATATGAATTTTGTGGCCCTACTGGGCTGAGGTGGATGGTTGTTGGTTGTCGACAGAAGTGGATGGTAGAGGTTCTGGTACTGAAGTCGATGGTTGTATTTGAGTGTGCATAAATTCTCTAATGGATCCCTGGGCTCTTTTACCCTGCAATACCTTATACAGCTGACGGTAAGGCATCATCAGCTGGTCTAGACCCCGTTTCAAAACACTGCTTCTAGATTTGCCAGGGTCCTCTTCAGTGAAAAAGTCTGCTAGTTTAGCAGCAGCATGGAACTGCTCACGTAGCTGCTGCAATATTAACTGTTTTTCTTCAGGTTCTTCTTCATCTTCTGTTCTCTCCCTCTCTTGTATCTGTGCATCGAGCTCTGCCAACATTTCCTCGGGACTCCTGTCTTCATCATCATCATCATCATATTCTAAGATCTCATTCACATCTTCATTCATATCTTCAAAACCATCACCTGGTAATCTCCTTGCCAGCTGAACAATTTCCTGAACCTGACTCTCAAGCAAGGAAAAACCAGTGAAAGAATTAACCACAGAAGGTCATAACTTTCCCCAGCCTGCATTTAATGTTGATTGGGGCACTTCATTCCATGCACTTCTAGCATAGCTGATAGCATCTGCAATGTTAAATTTATTCCAGAAGCTTGGTACTGCCAAGTTGGAATCAGAGTCCATTGATGCAACTAGTTTTTTTCACAACTTTTTTGTGTAGTTACACTTGAATGACTTGATAACTCCTCAATCCAGTGGTTGTATTAGAGATGTTGTATTTGGAGGTAAAAATACAGCTTTTACCTGTGGGGTCACATCCAGCAAAGCTTGTGGATAAGTACGGGAATTATCAAGAATGAGGAGAGCCTTGAATGCAAGGTTCTTGCTGTGCAGGTACAACCTGACATGAGGAATAAAATGATGCTTGAACCAGTCAATAAATATTTCCTCTGTCATCCATGCTGACTGGTTTGACCTCCAAATTACTGGTAAGGTGTTTTTATTTACACCTTTCAAAGCATGAGGATTCTTAGAGCAGTAAATAACCATGGGCTTACACTTGAAATCACTTGATGCATTACAGCAAAGGGGCAAGGTGAAGCGATCCTTTGCTGTCTTGAAGCCT